CAGCAGACGACGACGGCGACGTCGGAGTCTTCCCCCCCGCGCGCGCGATACTCATTACCGCGTAATGCAGCGAGCGTGCAACTCGCTTCGCTGCACTTTGCAGAGCGCGTTACCGGGACGCGCTCACACGCTCGCTGCACGCCTCGTATTACGTCTACCGAAAGAAAGAAAGAAAAAAGAACAAAAGACAGGAGGAAGGAAAAAAAAAGAGCGAAAGAGGGAAGAAGAGGGAGAGGGAGGGAGGGAGGGGAGGGAAGGAAAGAAACGAGCCGCGCCGCGCTTCCGCGAGACGCGCGCGAGCGCGTCTCCTCGCCGCCGTGGAAAACACACGAGGTGTGCGAGAGTTTCGTGCGCGAAAAGTCGACATTTCCACCACTTTTCGGGAAACGCGTTCCTCCGAGCCGACCTCGAAACGTCCCGACCTGATCTCATCTACGTCGCCGAAACGACCCAGACTACAGTCTCTATAATAAGAGCCTGGACGACGGTTGCGTCGTATGTTCGCCCCATAAACCGGAAATTTATGATACGCGAAATGCGCGAAAAGCTATTAAAATATATATAAACTGAAATAAATTAATACTTAATTGTGATATAAAGTATATAAACTTACTTTTCTCTTAACACTCTCCGTACATAGGAAAACAAGTTTCTTTGAATTCAGCAGATTTGGATAAGTTAATTGCTTTTTTGAAATTAAATTAGAATTTAATGGCCTTTTATATACAATTAATTTAGTTAAGTTAAAAGTAACCTAAACAAAAATTAACTAATTAAAAGTTAACTTAAAATTAAATTAATTTGTTAAAGTTAAAATTTAAATGTGCAATACTATATATGTAAAGTTTAGAAAAAGAATACAGCATTCTTTAGAGAAAATAATATTTCGTTTCCAACAAAAGGAATATATTTCATTATATATTAAATATTGTTCCACTAAACCAATGAAAAGTCCTTTAATATCTTTATAGTGTTATTTCTTTCAAAATAACGTATTACTTATGACAATCATCGTAACATTTGGTTGAAAATATATAAGAAATATATTATTTGACATAAAAATACTTATTGTTTGAGAAACCGAACAATCCTGTTGGTTAAATCAAACATTCGTTTGTTCGCTTCACTCGAAAATACAAATTTGTTTCAATTAAAGAAATTTCGTTCAACCCAAAAAAATCATTTTTTCCATTAACCTTCGTAGATGGCAAATCTTTGCCTTCGTTGTCGCTCAGCTGATCACTTCGGTTGCTTCCCAGCAAGAGGCGCAAATCGACACAAAGTTACATCATCATTTGTTGTCGTCATATGGAAAGCAACATTTGACATATCTCAATCAAAAACTTAGACCGAAAATGGCGGAGCCAATCATAAATCACACGGTGTCTAAATTCTTACTATAGAGACTCTAGGCAGAACAAATGTCTGAAAGATGTCTCAAAGACATCTAAGAGACATTTCTATTTTTTTCAGATATCTTTCGGACATCTCTGAGAGGTCTTTTAAGAATTGGTTTCGCCTGGGGACGCGACGCGATGACGGCCACGACGACAACAAGGCGACGCCGCGCACCTGAAGAACGTGGCGATAATCGTGAATTATCTACGCCGCATCGGTGATCGAGACTCGTGACAAAAGGACTGTGACGCGTTCGCTGATAAGAGCGGAAATAAACACACGCGACAAGCTCGTATGTGTGTGTGTGTGTGTGTGTGTGTGTGGTGCGTGTCGACGCGATGGCGGGATAAATAATTAATCGTCGGACTCGATCGGCCGAGCGCGACAGGCCGCGGCCGCTTCCTCTCCTTCGCCTTTTCCCTTCTCCCTTCTCTCTTCCCCTCTCTCTCTCTCTCTCTCTCTCCTTTTTTCAATTTTTTCAACTCGCCACACCGGGAACGTGCCGGCTCGGCGGGGGAGGGTGCTTTCGAATCGCGCGTAAATTCGCGCGTGTATTGCGCGGCCGAGGAGTCCGGTGGCGTAACAGACAATCGCGGCAGAATTCCGCGACTGAGAAGGGAAAAAAAGGAGAGCAAGCACACATGCACCTTCCAATCGAAACGTCTGGACGCGATCCCGGAAACTCCGGGCGATTCTCCATGTGCGCGTGAAAGTGCGAAGGTGAGACACGACGATCGGAACGACGCGCACGGATATCGGACGATGGATTTTACAGGTGTGTTCTTAGCTGAACTCGCTTGCATTTGTTGCCTTCAGGGTAAAATAAGGTAACGTGGAGAAAAAGAGTTTGGTTGAATCCGCCTGGCAATGGAGAATTAGGTGCGTTTTAGTCGGAGGGAACTGAATTTCCGGCTGTAGAAACCGAATTTGGTTCGTGAGAACTGGAGATTCCGTTTCCGTCATAACCGAAACGCGTTCGGTTATTCATTGACAAGTAGGTTCACCTGAACTCTTTTTTTACGGCGATGTAATAATTATTACCACCTTGAGTGTCCTCGAAATACGAGAGTGAGAGAACAAATATACATATAGAGAAAAAAAAGTGTTAGATTGAAGTAAATAACTGCTCCAATTCTCCTCAGCAAATTTTCACTTGGATTAATTTTTGACATATTTGTGTCACCTTTCAACATATTCACCTTATGTCAAATTAACACAGGAATTTGAGTAGACCGCTTAGAAAATGTAATATGTCAAATTTGCCGAATTTCTCTTACTATGTATTTGGTACTAAATAATTTGTAACTTGACTAGTAACCAAACGATTTAACTGAAACTGTTTAACCAAATCTTGCTAATTGTTAGCAAATCCTTCTTTTAGTGCGTGACTCCCGGGTGACGGAAAGAGAACGAGATTGAAGCATCGGCCTGCGAGATAGATCCCTGTCGTGAACTCCTGTCTGTGCCTGTTCTCCATTTTCTCCCCTGTTTCCTTCTTTTCGGGAGGGAAGAGCACGTACTGTTCGCGTTCTCACGAACGCGTCGAAGCACGTTCCTCGAAAAAATCGGCCGTGCGGACGTTTCACCTCACGATTTTCAGCAGGCAGGTAGAAGAAGAAGCAAGGCCGATTTCGCACACGTACACAGGCTAATACTTAGCCGGACAGCGGTGGCTGCAGGTAAAATCTTTGAACGAACAGGTCGGACCCCCGCGGGGCGATTTCTTTCTTCGCAGGCGGTTCGCCGGTTCACGGATAAAGAGACGAAAAAAGGGACACGTGGACGTGTCGCAGACGCCGAAAAGGAACGTCGAGAAAAGCCGGGAAAATCGTCTATCGCGTCTGCGAGATCGAAAGACGAGATAAGATGAAATGAGATGGCGGCGGAAAGTTCGTGGAAATCGAAAAATAAATGGACGGCGAATATGCGTTCTTCCCGCGCGATCTCATAAATCTTCCTCGCCTCGGTGGATTCTTGCCGCCCCCGCCGGCTCGGAGACGCGGACGATGAGGACGCGACCGGATCCTGAGTGAACTCAGGGACTCGAAATTCAGGAGGATTCGGGGAGACGCGGAGTTGCGTCTCGTTGCGGCGAGAAACGGACGACGAAAGGGACGCCCGAAGGTCTGAGAAGGCCGACAGAGAGAAAGAGAGAAAGAGCGATTCGGAGAGGACGTGTACAGTCTGTGTGGGGTCAGCTCCGAGAGAGTAGAGGACGATGGGGGCAGGGAGAAAGAAGGACGAAGGGGACGACGGAGCGAGCGACACAACAGCGGAGTTTCCCACGACAGGTGACATGTGAGAATCCCCCGGCAGTCACGGCGGCGCAGGTGGATCAGGTTGGGAAGCTGAGACGCGTGGTGGGAGGCCCAGGAGGCATACCTGTGGAGGCATCGAAGAGCGAGACAGCGAAAGAGAGAAAGAGAGAGAAATAAAGAGTAAGAGCAAAGTCCAGGAGCGTAACTACGCCGAAGCCCGTTTCCCAAAATCGCCACCAGCGCGATTATTTCTCCTTCGTTCCGTGTTAAGCTAACGATCAATTTTTCCCTAGATTTGAGTAAATTAACTTGAGTTGAAAGTTAATTAGGTAAAACTATATATATATAAACCTGACTATTCTTCTTCTTCTAAACTATGTATATATATCATTTAATAAATTTATCAATAAATAAATTTTAACTTTAATAAGTTAATTTAGTTTAAAATCGTCTTTTAACTAGCTACTTTTTATTTAGGTTACTTTTAGCTTAACTAAAACTTAATTGTATAGGTCATTAACTTTTAACTTAACTTCGGAGAAGAAGTTAATTTACCCAACTCTACTGTTTTCCCTTAGGAAATGTGACGAGTGAGGTGTGAAGTGACTTTTCACGAGTTCACGCCAGAGCAGAAGGATTTATGATGAATCTCAGCTCTAATTTGGAAACATTTCACTTTTCACATTTTCGTCTTGAGGAAAACTTACATGATCGTTACCCAGGTGAAAATTAGGCTTGAGGTAATTCCGGAGACCCGGAGACACGACACGAAAACCCAGCGACAACCATGTCGCAATGCGTCTGTGTCCAACGGGAAAGATAATGGTTTCCGATAGCCCTGCTTCTCAATAACCCCGAGAAGATAAATTTTCCAATTGAATGCCAGGGTACAGCGTCGCGTAATCTTGCCACTGGTCTTATCAGGCTCACCGAGTTCCAGACATTTCCCCCGAGTCTACGTAAATTCACACGCCGCCGAGTGGCCGAGCGCCGCGTCTCGCGCGGTCATTGGCGCGCGCACCGGCTCGGCGACCTGCGCTCGCTACCCACAGCTACCTGCGACGGCTTTATCTACCGGAGGCGCGCAACAATCGTCTATCTCCCGGAGATAAACCCGAGTGGTTGGACTACCTGAAGGACCCCGAAACGCTAATCACGATCGACCGGTGTGGAGGACCCACGAGAAGAGGTGCACCGCCAGGGCTGTAACTACACGTATCCTCCCCTCGAGAAAAAACACAGAGAGAAAGAGAGATAGAGAGAGAAAAAGAAAGAGAGAGAGAGAGGAAGAGAGGGGGGCGATGAAGGAAGGAAAAAAAGACACAAAGGCATTCTCTCACTCACTTGAGGAAGTAGATCTGGCCCTCGGGGGTGCGCGCCTGTTCCCATCCGTGGGGCAACGGGCCCAGGTCGTCGACCGTGCTGATGACGTCGTAGCTGCGCTGCTTCTGATGATGGTGGTGACGCGCGTGCGGCTGGGGCGCGTGCTGCGGCGCCTGCTGCGCCGAGGCGTACGTCTGCTGAAGGGAGGCCGGGCTGCTGTGGGCGCGGGGGTGGGCGACGGTGAGGCCGGCCGCGGCGGCGGCAGCGGCCGCAGCGGCGG